CCCAGGAAGGGGAGTCCAGGCTGGAGATGCCTAGGCCTACTGAACTAGACGTCTCCAGCCACCTCTATAAGCAGCCAAACTCCTCCAATTCTCAGTTTTCAGGACTAAACAATCCTTCTCTACAGCATCTATCCATCGAGGTCTTCTTCTGTGTTACCTGAGCTATGCGAAACATTTCTTTTAGTATGTTATTGTCGTTCATATGGATAACATGCCCAGACAACCGAGGCGGCAGGCGGCCTGTTTTAATGTAATGAACAACATCTGACTCTTTGGATATTCGGTATAATTCTGTGTTGCATCTTCTACACCAGACCTACTACGCTTCTCTCCCATTTTCCTGAATTCCTCCGAAAAGGACTGTCAGGAATTTGCGTTAAAAAGTACCCAAGACCCCTTCCTCCTTCATGGTCGTAATCCAGACGAAGATATTAAAAATTACGTGCTAAGACAAGGTTCGGTTCATTCGCACCCCAATTAATCTACACCGGGAGATCACTGATATTAATTATGAAGACTTAGATTTATCAATAAAAACTAATGTGTGCGAATGAATGTTGCGCAGCCTTCTAAGCTTTTCGGTGCGAAGATACATAAAATATCAATTGTACCCTCGTCGGGATTCGAAACATGAATCTTCCATGCGATATCTGGGATGTGTTAACCACTTTCATCCCCAGAGCACGTAGGAATGCAGTAATTCCTTGCAATAAGACATTTTCAGTTTTTAAAACTGAATAAAAGCATACGTAATCACACTAACATTTAGAAAAGGTACTAGGCTCTTGACATAGAGGCGATAATAATCACATTAATATTAAACTAGAATGTGTTTATCTCCTGCTCCATAAAGGCAATTATACATACCATTGGTGTAAAGTTTTAAAAATGTTTTAATTAAAAACAAATTTCTGCGAAATTATAACATTACTTTACTTTCTTATAAATATTTATACTACTACAAATATGATTATAAAAGGCGTTTTTGAAGCCAGAATAATAATTATGAAGTTACTTGGCTCTATATTTATAGTTGGTTTGGTTTATTTAATTATGGCAACGCACACTAAGGCTATCTGCCTAAGGGGAGGGATGCCTTCGTGGAGGACTTTCTAAGAGAACTGGCTCGTATACACGTTACACATGGGCAAAACCACGAAAACGCCCATGCAGCCAGCCCGTTCGCGAGATTCGAACCTCGGACCGAACTACCAGTATTCAGCGACTTTACCGCTCGGCCGCTGGTGGGAACTCATATTTCTTTAACTTCGGGAGATAGTGATTAAGAACTAAAACATTTGACTCCTGCATTTTATTGAGAACAATTAAATGTGGCTCTATTTGACTAGTTTCAATTATGATAGATCCTGATTAAGTTTTGATTAATTTAGTCTTATAAATAATATACAATTTGGATATAAGCAGGTGAAAACGTTTATTCTAAATTTTATACAATTTTTATAACTAGTGACCTGATAATGGTCTGTTTCTCAAATTACGAGATAATAATGCATTCGTTACTGATTGCAGAAAGACGTGATAACTATCTATCAGTCCAGGGTCAGCAATCTATATTATTCTTAATATATATATATATATATATATATATGCTCAAAGGGGCTTTTTTTTAACATTTTGTGTGTTACCTTTACTTCTTTATTTACTCGTATTAAATATCATGTTCTTCGCACTTTAACCATACAAAATTAAATTCAGCAGAAATATCACAAAATATTTAAAAACAACATATCTTTAGAATTTCCGATAGATAGTCTCGCGCGCTAGAGATAAAAATTTTATTTTCCGTACGGTGTTGCCACTGTTCGCATTGAAATCGTTCAGTTTATTAACAAAATATGAACTAGATAATAAAACAAATTCGAAATTCGGGCGTCCAGGTGCCCATGTTCGGGAGGAGGATTACGTTACTCCAAATTTGATGGCTCTGGGTACCGTCGTTTTTTCACAGTGCGAGAAACATACATACATTCTTCATTATTTAATTTCTTTAAATATAATACAGGGAGTTAATATTTGGTGGCAACAATTTGAAAAAGTGAAACAGACCTTTATGGTGAAATAACACAAAAGGCCGTTTCGAAGCTGATAGCCCTTCTGGGCTCCTTTGCTCTTTAAAAAACGCTCTTTTGCCCTTAAAAAAAAAAAAAAAAAAAAAAAAAAAAAAAAAAAAATATTATTTTGTTTTAATTGAAACATAGAGTACGGAAATTAAATAATTGCAACGTTTAATTCTATTATTTATCTATAGAACCCTATTAATGTTTCAGCTAAATTGATACAATAAAATTTTTATTTGTTTAATTTTCACACTCCTGCTTAGAAAACATACGCCAGTAAATTCGCATGCGTGAGCTCGAAACACGAGTGAAAACAATTACACACTTGGTAGAATTAATGTGTACACCGAAACGACATCAGGCTGTTTGCTGCCAAGTGGAAGAATAGCATCCAGTCAGCCGTATATACCTAATACATTCTCAATACAGGTGTCAACAACATCTAAAGTGAACGCAATATTCTAGCATAGCAAATGTAAAATGTATAACTACAGTGTGATTTTAATTTATAATTATATGCAAATATAGCATTATATGCAACATTTTAAAAGCTATCGTAATTTAAATAGGTTTATACTTGTATAAGCAATTAACTTTGTATAACCACTGTGTTAAGTATTAAGTGTGCAGGATAATACTGTGCGATATACCTAGTAGTTTTTAGCATGTCTTTATTTTTACAGAATATGCTTTTTATAATAATACTAGCTGATACCCGCCCGCTTTGCTGGGCACACTATCTATTTGAATGTGAACCTAGACTTCTTATATAGACGAAATGTCTAATTTCGAAATGATAATTAATGTAATTTTTTTTAATTTAAAGTTGGGAAATATAGTGCTAGTCAGCGAATCTGTCATACACAGAATTCCATATCACCCATGAGGTACTGTGTATCGGGAAGCGTCCCCCTTATTTAACGTGGTGGGATCCCCGGTAGGCCTACACCACGAAATATTGTCGACATAAAACTAAGGTTTATATATGTTTAACTGCTATCACATGTTTCATGAAAATAAATGTTATTATCTTTGTTATCAAACTTTTTAATCAATTATAATTATTTGTTCTTCATTTTTATATATGGCAATTTTTATAAATAACAACAACATTTTTATTTTTCATCACAATAATTTATTTCTCTTAATAATAACATTTATTTTCATGAAACTTATGATAACAGTTAAATATAAATGTTATTATTAACCTTATCATTTAAATATTGTTTGTATTCATTGGATAGATGCAAGTTATTTACCAATTTAATAATTTTAAAGCAAAATGCATTCATTGGCAACATTTTATTTCATATCTAGTTTTGGCAACAACAAAAGAAAATTCTAACTTGGATTTGAAAACTAAATCCTCACGGACTGGAGGAAACGGCGGTCGCCAAAGTCCTCATCTCTTTTTTTCTTGTTTAAAAGCAAGATTGCTACAGAATTGCTACAGAAAACCAAATGTATGACGAACTTCTATTGTGTAATAAAAAATCCGTTTTGGGAAGAATTTACGTAAAATCCGTTCTTAGTGCGCGTCTACATCGTGGAATGAGTAGCTATGCAAAATTTGAAGCCAATCATCGGATGTATAGTTTCGGAACTCTCGTGATGAGTCTGTGGTATTTCGCTTATATATATAAATTACAAATACCTTCCTCAGTTCTGCTTAAAATTATGTTGAAAAAAGTATAAATACATGGTTATCTCAGCACTGTAGCTAAAGCAGTCCGTCGACTGAACTATCCAGGCTCAAATCACTCATTCTTCAGCGAATTGGCTTATTCTCCAGTAATAAATGTTATTTAATTTCGTCGAAAAGAGTACGTTTTGTTTATTTTACCCCGAAATCAAATTGGTTTGTTTCTTTAACAGATTGTGCAATTTTGTTGATATAAAATTTGAAAGGAAAAAAACATCCAAATGGTCTGTGATGCTGGAAATCTGTATACGGGTGTTTTACTGTACTTTGTTAATTTAGAATTAATTTTAACAAGTTCGTATACTTTATAATGCTTCCATGGCGTATCATGTGTAATTCAGAAAAGTACGTGCTAAAGAAAATAAGTCCTAATACTAAAAGAAAAGAATAAAATGGGTCACTCAGATGGCTTTTTCACTTATGATTTGCATTCTGAATACATTAGTATTAAAAAATTCTTCTTTTGTATTCTTTACGTCATGAAATGAATTCTGAATATATTAATAATAAGAAAAAATTTCCTGTAACGCCCTTACAAGTAAACTATGAAACGTTTCTTTTAAACACTTTTTTAATTGGCAATTGTGCCTTTAAATCTAAAACTATTTTCAAATAATGAATAATGGGTATATATCCTAAATAAAAAAATGAAAAAAAGCAAAATGCAAAATGGGTTGTGTGCGGAATATATAATTTTATCTTGACATATTTTATCTGATTCATTGGAGTAACTTATCATTCACTTTTGGTAAATCCAAATAGAGGGAAAGAAAAATAATTAAACTCGAAAAAATTCAGAACTTTTAGCTTCTTTATCCATTTAATATGCACATTTTATGAAATTCATACCGAATCCCTTTTGAAAAATTGCTTTACAAATTGTTTTATTTTGAGGTATTTTAAGAAGTTTCTTTACTTTTTTAAGTCTAGGGCCCGGATTTTATATTTAATGTAAAAATATTTCTGTTTGAATAATATTTTTGCAAAAATATAATTTTTATACTATAGACGTGTATAATATACTAATGTAATAGCAAATCGATAGTGAAAATTTAAGGAATATATGTCTTAATATACGTTAATAATATTTATAGTTTTAGAAATAAAATAAATATTTTATTTTAAGAATAACAAACACTGTCAACAACTTTCAGATTATATCACTCTAACAGATGAAAAATTCTGTTGGCTGTCTTTTAAAATGCATAAACTTTCAAAATGTAAAATTTCCATTTTCGATTCTCTTTCCTTGAATTAATTATCTTTGTGACCATATGGCTGCGTTTGATATATCTTAATTGCTAACATCGTAATTTCAGTGAATTTGTAGTTAGTAGTTTGTAGTTCTATTATAATGCTTAAATATGAATGTGTTTATTTCATTTGTCTCTGTTTGGTGTAAAAATTGAATTGAATTGAATACAAATGCGAAAATTTGTATGCATTTATTAGATATGGTAAGAGCATTCAAGGTTTCCTTCCGACTTGTATTTCGATGGCGAAAACTAAAAGTAATTACTTTAACCTTTATTTTGAAAATTCTGTATAAATCGACAATCTTCAGTATAAATAAAATAAACTGATTTCTGCTTTATTATCCAATTTTTTGAAGATTTCCTTATCCTTTGAAATGGAATTTAATACAATATTTTTTCAGGTATGTTTATGGGAGAACTAACTATGCAGAAGTTAAATTCAATTTTATGAAAAATATCTTTTTTTGGTAGCGTTGTTTTATTCTTTGTCTTACGGTAAATCTAAAAGCATTCGAACAGGGGTCTGAGTAGATTAAGAATTTTAAAAGCAAGCCAGGAATATGGAAACTCTAGCTACGCCCCTGCCAATATCCCATTCGTAACTAACGTCACTTTTCGACTAAAAATACGGGATTCTATATTTTTCAAAGTAGTCTGCAAACATGACGAAAATTAATCTTATTAGGCATACATTTTTTTCTCAACCTGTATAATATTTTCTCTTACCATGTTAAAATCATAATTTCTTAATTTTCATTATAAAATGAACAGTGACTGCCAATTAAAATTTTACCTCAGAAGAACTATTTTCGAGTGCACAGAATAGTATGACATTGTCCATTTTCAAACTGCATGCTCCAAAATACGCGAAAGAAATATCAAAAAGAGATGAAATTCGGAGACAGGGATGACACAGGTAAAGAAAATTGATTGATGATAGCCATTCTCCTCTTGTCACATACAAGTACAGTAAAGTCTCCATTATCTATTACTTGATTAACGGTCCCTTTCAGTTATCTGTCACTCTTCATGTGGAGTAACGTATGCGTCACATTTTGCTTTCTCGAATGTACCCTATTTGTGCTGCAAAAGAATCCCAGATTATTGCTGTAAGACACGAAATCATCAAGCAGCATTACTACTGCTATTTACAAAATAAATGCCACCAAAGATAATCATTAAACTTCAAAACTTCACTAAAGCGTCTTATTAAGGTACAGTCAAACATCTAACAATATAAACGAGATAAATTTGTGCCTTAATTGTGTTTCTGACAAAATATTTTTATGTATCTCATTTTAATCTCATTTGTACTCTTTACATATTAAACTATAGATACGATCCAAAAAACATGACGATTCCACAAAAATATGTGAGGAATTTGACAGACATTTACAGCTTATGCGGTTATTATTATTTAAATTAACCAGTATTTTATAATTTCACCCTTCTCTTTTCCTATCCTCACCAGAATGTAAATTAGTTTAGCAGTATTTAAACAGATTTTTTTTTAATTGTGAGACAAAGAGTGTTTCTGGCCTGCATGTGCGTTAGCCCCAGCCAGCTTTGATAATTTGTAAATTATTCGGCTTTGTGTTATTGCTGCCGACATTTGAGCTTTGTTGCACGGGTAGAATTACCGAGCCAACTTAGATTTAATTTGTGTAGTCTTTGACTACTAGTCTACGTTTTTGAATTTGGCTGTAATTTAGTTGCATCACTTCGATAATTTGGTTAGCACAAGAGAACATATTTATGTTCTAAGTTCTGTTTAAATAAAAAGGTTTATTTAAACATTTAATCTGACTTTCTGTAATTACTTTCAGACATAGAGATAACTCGCTCCACCTCCGCTAGGGGTTTTGGACTTATTAACTTTTATGAGATTAAGGAAATTTCTATAAGCTAAACATAGACACTTCATCACAATAGTCTGCGTACTGTACAGAATAATTCAAACGCATTCATTAACTTTCACACAGGCAGGTTACAGGTTACGGAGGATGGAGATGCCTGGTGTCTAACATAGGTAAGCAGGCGTATGTCCCACGCCCTACCCTATCTAGCGGCAACAACTCCCTGGAGCCCCAAGAAGCTGCGTCGGGAGTTTATTGAGACATGAAAAAGGTTGTACATGGCCAAACAAGGGCGCGCGTGTTTTGTTTTACAAATTTGGAGAGACTTTGACTGAGCAGATATGGCAAGGAAACAAAAGTGTTACAGAATAAATAAATAAATAAAAAAAGGCAAAAGCAAGAATCAAAACATGTAGAAAAATATAATTAAGTGTTAAGCTAAGCTGCTAGGATAATGACTTCAACTGGCATGCGGTGCACAGTACGTTGAGCTCTGTGCTAGGAGTTCGTAAGCCGTAGATTACACAAGCGTTTGCACATAAGGTTGTCAAAGTTGCGTATTTCAGATAGGTAACAGTTTGCACACGCGTATAGTCGCAAATAGTTAGCTGTTTGCGCGTGTTGTTCATAATTTGCACATAGTTTACAGTTGCTTGAGATTTCTGTTTGCGAACGTGCACTTATAAGCTCGCAGTACACAGATCGTTGCGAGAAGTTTTACAGAGGAAACAGGAGGGGAAAGTAATCATTACACCTGATGATCGCTAACACGAAATCTCTTATTTCATCGTCGTATTTCTCATAAGCTGAAGCGAATGGTATACTAGAACGTAGTTCATCTTCAATGCATTCTCTGCCTTCTTTAAATTCTTACTTTTGATAAAACAAAGTCCTAAAACGGTTTTGGCAACATTTCAGATGTTCTTATAGCAGAAATTCTACAAAATATAATGCATATGCTTAAGTTACATTCGCCAATTTGGGAAATTGCCAAAGCAAAACTTCTTTATTCATTAGGAAAGGATCAGTTTGTAAACAATAAAAGGAAGTGAAATACTGATTTTTACCAGATGTCTATGAAAATCGTAGCGGTTTGTTGGAAGACAAAAAGATTTCTTCCATGTGAGTATTTTTCAGTGTTTAATTTCCGATACTTTTTATTTATTTATTTTTTGTAGTCATGTCAAGTGTTTCTGAAGGTACAGTTAAAATTCTACACGTTTTAGGACTGACTTTGGATTTACACACGATATCAGTATCCGACAGTTGCAAAATGTTAGCGTAAAAATTATCTTTTTGCTTTCAACATTTTGTACTTGTAAGAATCAGCCATTCCGGCAGAAAAATACAGAAATCTAGATAGATTGCAGCAAACTCTGCAAAATGCAACAAGCCCATAATTAGTGCCATTTCGCTGCATAAAAGTATAGCTGCGCTGCAGTTCATAAATTTCGTTCAAAGGCTTCTGTTGACACAGGATTACTTCAGAGATTAAAAGTTCTTATTCAAAAAGTGATTACATATTGATCATTCAGTGGTTTTGTTAAAAACAATTATATTCACTTTCTGTCAGGTACTCATAAAAAGTTTCAGCTCATAAAATATATCAATAAAGTAATCAAATTACGTAGTTTTATAATCTCTAATTTTCGTTTTAATAATGGTTTAATAGAAAGACTATTAACATTAACTACTATGCTTCTTTTCATGTTTGTAATTCACATTTGCTTTAATAGGTAACTTTCAAGTTTTTATTTTAATTTTTTATTGACTTAAATATTAAATTAATAATTTGTAACGCTATAATAGGCAATAAGTAAGAAAGTTTTTGTAGAGAGAAAATATGCTTACCTAGAAGAGCTCTGATAAGAAATTTGTAACCTCTTTTTTTGTCCTGTATAAAAGTAGTATTATCAGTTAAGGTAATCATTACAGCTATAAATGTATAAGTTTGCTCTGTCCTTGTTGGCCGCAACTTTATTATCACAGTTCACAGATAGATGGGAGCAGACATGAATATAAGGACATCACCAACGTAGAGAGATATAATCCAATGTCTGCATTCCGTAGAGCAAATACGCCTTATGAGGATACGGTTAATTCAGAGGCTCAAAAGGGGCAACTTTCAGGTGGGATGAGGTCAGCTTTGTATTTGCCTGTTAAATATTTAGTTTTAGTTTATGAATATAAAAAACTACTATTAATAAAATTTTTGTATTTATAAATATTTTTCTTGCTTAATTATAAAACGCATTAAAAATAATCATCTAAAGTTAAATAAATGTTTATGTATTTTTGCTTTCTTGTACGAAGTAAAAAGGAAGTATTGTAATCGCGAAAAGTTTCAGGCAGCATATTTCAACGAAAATATCCATTTTGACCGCTATCGAATGCAATTTAACGATGTTTTTGCGTGATATCTGTACGTAAGGACAGAATAAAAGACTCTTTTCCTCCAAAAAAATTATAAAACTGCTTTAAAACGAATTCTGAAGAGAATTTTTCGTGGCGTCTGTACGAACGTATATACGTATGTATCTCGCATAACTTTCAACATTCTGAGGCTTCTCAAAAACGAGTAGCCTCAGAACGTTGAAATTTTGTATATATGTAGATTGCTATAACATGTAGATGTGCACCTCGTATTTTGGTTGCAATCGGCCGCACCAAACGTATATAAATATATTTATATATATATCCACTCTGTTACTCGGCTCAGTGATCTCAGTTTCTTTATTCATAAATGTTTGTAAACTGCACACTGGAATTGTGTTCTTCTTCTTCTTCTTATCTTCCGATTCTATTCTTCTTCTTATCTTAATTCGAGAATCTTCGATGATTATATAAAAAAACCTCAAATTAACTAATCATAGCTTAAAGTACTTTCTATATGTACTTTGTATAAACCGCTCGGAAATAAACTGCACTCTTTACTTGGCTTCCCAACTTGCCAATAACTCCTCGCTTTGCTTCCCCGTCTAAGCTGCCTGCGTCTTAATTTTAAGAAGCAATGCACATGGAAATTTATCATATTTAATTATGATTGAATATGTGTCTGCCAGATTAATTGGATATGTGTGAAAATAAAGACTGGAAATTCTTCAAGTTCATGTTTTATGATCTTCATTTCTTTCATTTGTATCACCCTCAGCTACGACGACTACAAGCTAATTCTTCTTCTATGTTATAGCACTCCTGTACTCAAAATGTCAAAGTTCTACGCCTAAATCGTTTTTGAGTTATCCGAGGTATATACTTACGTACGTCGCCAAAAAATCCCCCTTGAATACATTTTTAATTTCATTTTAGAAACCGTTTTGAATCAACGAGTGTGTTTTATTCTATCCAATACGTACAAAAACCATGCAAAAAAATAAATAAATAAATAAATAAATAAAATTAAAATTTTAAATTACGTCCAAAGGGCCTTTCTTTAACGTTTTGTGTGTTACCTTTATTTATTAAATATCATGTTCTACGTATTCAAACTATAAAATTCAGTTCAACAGCATTATCACAAATTAATTTTAAAATGAGCATATCTTTAGAATTTCCGATACAGAGAGTCTCGCGCACTGGAGATAAATTTTTTTTTTCGTACAGTTTTGCCATTGCTCGCTTTGAAATCGTTTAGTTTTTTAATCAAAAATTCGTTGAAGTATTACAAATTCTGAAATCGATCATAAAACAAATTCCAAATTTCAAATTTGGTCTTTCCCATGCCCGTATTCGTAGAAGGATTAAGTCATTCAAACTTCGATGGCTCTATGAACCGTTGTTTTATCACAGTGCGAGAAATATACATACATTTATGCAGATTTTTCATTATTTAAGTTCTTCAAATATACTGCAGGGCTCTAACATTTGGTGGCGACAGTTTGAAAAGTGAAAGCGACATTTATAGTGATTAAACGCAAAATTGCAAAACGAAAACAATAGTCCTTCAGGGACAAATCCCATTTGGACTAAAAAAAAAAAAGAATCGGGTACGATCAAAAATGTATATTTCCGCTGAAATATGATACCCAAATTTTTCGTGATTAAAATACCTCCATTACTTCGTCAAAGGAACTAAAAAGGGGAGCAAGAATTAAAGATTTTAAAGCTTTTCTATATAGATTTGTGTATATATACATATTAATAAAGTTGTCAATAGTGCATTTTACAAAAATTACGAATGAACTAACAAGTTCAAAATTAGCGCCTAGTGCTGCTGAATTTTATAAAAGGATCTTAAAAAGTTAGAATTAAAATACCTAGAAAAAGTCCTGAAAATATTAATTGAAGGCAACCTATTCGTATTTTCAGAAACACATTGCAAAAAGAAAAAAAAATTAATAAACAATTTTTGAATCGAAAATGTGTATATAACATCATGTAAATTTTCATATTATATAAACAATTTCGGTTCAAAAATTATTCATTAATTTTTTTTTCTTTTTTGCAATGTGTTTCTGAAAATAAGGATAGGTTGCTTTCAAGTATTCTTGCGGCATTTTCTAGGTATTTTAATCCTGACTTTTTAATGAAGCTACTTTCAGTTTTCAGCAAATCTGTTCTTTAAACACTTTAAATGTACAATTAAAAAATAAATAAATAAATAAATAAATAAAATCTGAAAGGTTTCAGATTTTAAATTACGTCCAAAGGGGCGTTTTTTTTAAACATTTTGTGTGTTACCTTTACTTATAATATAATGTTCTTTGCACTTAAACCATAAAATTCAGTTTAATAGCAATGTCGCAAAATAATTTTAAAATGAGCCTATCTTTAGAATTTCCGATACACAGTTCCGCGCGCTGCAGATAAAAAGGTCTCCCCCCCCCAAAGAGTGTTGCCATTGCTCGCTTTTATCGTTAGGTTTCTTACTCAAAAATTAGTTAAAGTTTTAGAAAATATGAAATCGATTATAAAACAATTTACAAAATTCAAATTTGGTCTTCCACATGCTCATATTCGTAGGAGGATTAAGTCATTCAAAATTCGATGGCTCTATGTACCGTTGTTTTATCACAATGCGAGAAATATACATACATTTATGCAGATTTTTCATTATTTAATTTCTTCAAATATAATGCAGAACTCTAACATTTGGTAGCAACAGTTTGAAAAGTGAAACGGACATTTGTAGTGATTCAACGCAAAATCGCAAAACGAAAACAATAGTCCTTCAGGGAGAAAGCTCACTTGGACTAAAAAAGCTACCAAGTAATAGCATAAATAAGATTTTAATGAACCCTCTGCAAATTTTAATCCACATAAATTACTTCTTTTTATTATGCAATTATAAACATCAGTAACTTTGTCTCAAATTTGGTTTCAGTGATTTGTATTAAGTATAGAAATATGTATAGATAGTATTAAGTATAGATTAAGTACAGAAATATGTATAGATAGTATTAAGTATAGATTAAGTATAGAAATACTCCATAGCAAAATTCTTTCATACGAAGCTTTTAAAATAAATCATTCACAAATTTCATCATTTTAAATATTATCATCACAGAATTACCTGTGACAGACCTCATAACTCGTAACACACCCACGGATTGATACTATGTCTATAGAAATTCGTGTTACTTCACATCACATACATCAGATCCTGTGTTTTATCTCGAATAACGAGTTTGATCTTCTTTATAATCACAGTACACACATTGCATCTCATCCTATAACCTATATTCTAGCGATTCTGCTAGATAAGACAAAGAAATGTTCCTCCATCTCGTAGTGCTGTCAGCTGGAATTCTTCAGCAAGACAGACACATTGTGCCTGGAAGCGATTTTTGGGAAACACGAGACAGACGATTGAAGAGGGGGAGTGCAGATGGTGGAATACCAACTAGGTATTCAGTGTTTTTCCGATACGGGACAAGATGTCCAAGATATCCTTGGTGTCAAATTACGAATTAGACATCATGAGAAGAAAGTTGAGAAATGATATATCAAAATATTATCCTATATTTTTATCACTTTTGCGAAGTTCCGCCTACGTGTATACTGGCATTATATGGAGTAGATTTGTACACACTAAGATTTTGTTTAGACACATTTTCTTTAACTTTTGGATTAAAATCTTCAAAAGGGATTGTACCATTATATTAAAATAATGTACAATATTTGAAACTCATATTGCATAGTATCTAGAATCGAATTTTTACTTTTAAATAAAATTCGATCTGAAAATATTCGATTTTCAAAGTTTCATGACGAATTTATCTGTGAATTTCTTTTGTGGATGAAATATGGCATCCTCCAAAAAATTATCAAAGTATTAAAAAATATATTACCATTTGAAAAAAAAATACCGTTTCAATATTAAAAAAACATACACACGGGAGTTGGTAATCTGTGTAATGTTTTAAATACTGACCCCCTGAAATGTTCTGTTTGAAACATTAAGCAAAGGGCGATTAATAGCTTTTGTTTGTTTTTCCAGTTCACACATTTCTCAACTTTAATTACCCATTGCTACATTTTTCAAACTTTAATTATCCTTTAAGAAAAATTTTCTCCAGCTTTAACTTTTCACTACCAATTAACATGAAATAATATGAATGCCCTAAACAATTTTTCTTATCATGAGGTAATCTTTTTAATAATTTATTTAACAAATCAGTTATTATAATAATTTCTTAAAATTTTTGGTATAATAAGTAATTACAAAATCCCTATATCAAAATTATCAAAGCATTAAATAATACGTTTCCATTTGGAAAAAACGATACCGTTTGAATATTAAAAAAAAACATACATGACAGATCGTAATCTGTATGTTACCATAAAGTTCTATAATCTATCTCTATACCAAATTTTATTTCTGATATAGAGATAGTGCACATAAATACTAGGGTTAGACATTTTATTATCGATACATTATGCAGTCATACTCAATCAATGCATAAAATAACGTTTTGAAAAATGCTATTAAAAAGCACTAATCAAGTTTACTTGTTAAGCTCATGAATAAAGCACTTCTATAAAATTAATTAAAGTATCTTAATCTAAGCAATTACTCTTTTATAAATGAAGAAATTTTTACTTTTTGAGTAACGGAAACATAATTTGACTTCCAGGCATTTCAAAATGTATAATGATTTTTCATTTATAATTAATAACAATTTAAAATCGATTTCAGCCAGTTACTAAAATTTAA